TAGATCTACGAAAACTAATCACAATATCCACCAAAGACACAGAAAAGACACAGAAACGGGACGAGGATCGATCAAAAACGGGGTCGAGCGAGGTTATCCCGGTCACGCGTTAGTCAGGCCGAGGCAGCCGGTCTGTCAGTCAATCCGGGGTCAGAAACGGTCTTCGTGCTGGCAGCTCGGTGACACGTTCGGCGAATACACGCGCCACGAGAGAGTTCTATTAAGAGCGAGAGCCACGAAAACGCTAGACGACACGAGGTGACACAAGATGCCTGACACGACACGGGCCTGCGCTTAGCGCGCACTCTTTCATTCTACACCGGTGTCTTAACAGCAGCGACAGCTATGCGACTCGTTGACCCTGTCGTTCTAGAGCCTCTCCCCACCCCGCGAGACATGTCAAACATTTTTACCCAGTGAGAGAAACTCCCTCTGTAGTGGATTTTGTTGGAAAATTATTATTAGGTTATACGATTTTTTCTTTCTTCCTTTTTTTAAAAAAAAGTTTCGTGGATTCTAGAAAAGTGATGAATTTGTGATTACTATGATAAAATTGTTTAAAATATTTACATCTGTAAATTAAATCCATGTTCTTCTGTAAATCTGACATGTCATTCGTCAAGATTGAAATAATTTGATAATTTTGTGAGTGTTTCTAGATATTTCTAAGATTTATTATTCTGCAAAAGGCATCTATTCGTTATACAGTTTAAAAATGATAAAACAGATGCAAAATTTGAACTTTACAATCATTGCACTATAAAATTAGAAAAACAAGATATGTTTATAACTGGTTTTGTCATCTGATCAGATACCAGATAGAAATATATATTGCACGATTTTTCGTGAAAATGTAAATCAGAGCTTGCATATACTGTGAAAATATTTAAGAAATCGAAATAGAAATATTGCATATTCAAGTTTTATACAGAATATAAAGTGTTGTATGATTTTTGAATCAGAATGTATAATACTTGTTAGAAGAGAAGAAGAAGAACAAAAATAACTTTTCTTCAAAGATATCAAGATTGCAATTTCATTTACAATTCGAATCGTGAGTAATTATAAAAAAGATTATAGTATTTATTTCTCATTTTCTGTTTCATTCCTAATTTGTAACGTACATTCCATCACAAATTAGGTTAACTATGAGAATTACCATTTCGTTGCCGCACAGCCACGTTTCATCGTCGTTTCCTTCCCTTTTCTTTTGTTTATGCTAAGCTATAACGTGTAGCGTAACACAAAAGCGAACGTTCACAGCTGCCTCGAGTGGTAAGACACACATCGTTGACGTTTCGTATATTTTGTCGTAAGATCGCCGATGAGTAACGATTGGACGTTCTCTCCTATCGTTATTCCCTATCTACTCAGAAAAAATGAAACATCTTAAAAACATGTCGAAAATTAATTAAACATAAACCCTCCTAACACAATCATTACAACCATTTTCTAAATCGATACGAAATTTTAATTTTCAGAACAATAAAAAGAGTAAACCAGATAATTTTAATCAAAGAGCAAAATTTGAATTTCAACGGAACTTGAAAACCCATTAATACTTGATTAATACTTCATCAGTTGACCAGTTACCAGAAGTTCATTACCTTTGGCAAAGAGGAAGAGATAAATTAAAAAAGAAAGAGAGATAAAAGAAAGGAAATCTAATAACATGCAAAGAAGCAAGAAACTTAACGCATTTATTCAAACCAAGAGAGCAATTGCTAGCAAAGATTGATCGCCAGCAGTTAGCGGAGATTTTTTTTTCTTTCCACAGATCTATTGCGAGAGATCTGATCTGACTAATAGTAACACGGCCTCGTAACAAACGCTTAATAAAACGTTTGTTGCACGGCGATTCGCGCGAGCCAGTTTTTCTCTAATTATCGCGATATCTTTTCCCTCAAGAGGGAGAGGAGAAAAAAAAGAAAAAAGAAAGAAAAGCCACGCGTGTCGTTAATTGCTCACTGCCAACACATCGTGCGTTGAACCGATATCCGACAATCACGATTCTTTGAACGTGGAAAGAGATTTATAATTCGAGGGAAACCCGATCAGATGTCGCACGTCTCGCCCACACCCGTTCAATTATCACTCGGCTTAATTTCTTCGGTGTTATTTTTGGTGCTCGAGGATGGAGGAAAACGTATTCTCGAACGGTTTTTACCAAGGTTCTTCGAGTCGGTTAGGAAATGGAATAAAATGATTTACGTGTTACTTTGGAGGAAGTATCTTTTAAGGAGCAAGAGTGGAAATATGATATTCGATGAAGAATGATTTTTAAACGGTAAATGGATTTTTATTAAGAATTAACAAGATATATATTTTTGATTAAACGTTTTTAAAGAACATTTAAAGAATAATTTTATATTGGATATTAAAGTTAAAAATAACAACAAGAAGCGAATCAAATCTTTATTGTATACACTATACAATTTATCAATCGTATTAAAAAGCATTTACCCTTAATCTTTTCGTAACAACCTAACCTAACCTATCAAACACTCTTTAATACCAACTTTCTAATAACTCGAAACTTACGAACCAATTTACTCTCCACAGAAAGATCCAAGACGCAAAAAGAAAAGATATCACGGATACAAAGCTCGTTCGTGTCGATCGACGAGCAGAATCTCGCGTAAAACACGGATCGAACGTATCATCATCTCGAGGCCTCGTATGTCTAGGTTCTGTCATCGAGAAGGACACCGAGGCCCGATGCTTTTTCTAAATCCTCGGCCACCAATGATTAATAGCTCGCGTCCGCGTTTCGTCGCATCGCCGTGAAAGAATGCCACGACCAAGGATTCGCAACAACAAAGGCCCCTCGCGCAACACCGTGACGCGCACGTCTGTGCGCCTGCGCGTGCTCGAGAAAGAGAGAGATAGAAAGAGAGAGAGAGAAGCCTTTGAATAATCCGTGAATACGTCCGCGGATTCGTATTCGGGCATACCGGGTTCGTTCAACCGGCGAACAAAACGCGTTGGATAATGATCCATTATCAGCCTGTGATAAAGATACGGCGGCGAACTGGCGCGATCCACCGTGACTGGAATACACACCGTGGTACGAAAACTTTCCTCCTTTTTTTTTCCCTTCTTTTTTCTCTCCTCTTCCTCGACGAGAGAGGCGATGATTAATCGCCGTCCGACTCTTGTCAACGTCGATGCACACCGGCCCCTGTGACGGAAGAATGCGAGGTCCCGGTGAAAGTCGGGCCCCAACCTCTCCTCCCCCCTTCCCTCCTCTCTCTCTCTCTCTTTTCTCGAAAAACGGACGCAACTCTTAGATCTCTCCTCAGAATCCAACTCCATCCAATATATATATATATATACGTATTTCCATATCCAGATAATTTTCTTTTTTCTTTCGAAAAAATGGCAAAGAACTCGGACTCGGACTCGGTTCTCTCCTTCGATTTCTTTTCTCGTGCCAAATTCGCGGGCGCGCAACACAGCGGGCGGATCGTCTCCCCGTGGCTCCATACGTTGTATCGACGTCACCGGGACACGGTTGGCAATTAATCACCGCGAAAGGATCCACGCTGGGATCCTATGTCCCTTCGGGCTTCGCTCGAGTTTGGTACGCGTGCCGGCTTCATAGTGGCGTGTAATAATGAGGCTGGACAGAGAGAGAGAGAGAAAGAATTCCGTCAAGATCGGGCCGATATCG